GCATGAACATCCTCCCTGACTTTGTATCTAGTTTTATTTTCAGCTTTCAACTGTCATAACATAAAAATTATATACAGATAATTAATACGTTATTGATATAATTGCTTTTATTTTACAAAAATTATTATTATTATCCTTACCAAGCCAAATAACTCTATTTGTTCAAATACATTCAAATCTGGAAAAACCATATTTTCTTGAGGACACAGTCGTAATTCGTTTCTAATACTGCTCAAGTGCTTTTCTATATTTTTGCCATTTATAAATACTTTTCCTTCTGTTACACTTGTCACACCTATTGAATATAAGTATAATAAGTATTTCCCACAAAATATACCATTAATGTCATTTTCGTTAAGATCTCAAAGTACAATGTAATACCTGTCAATATAGACATAAGCGTAGTTTTGCCTGCTCCATTGTGTCCAAGCAGAGCAGTATTTTGTCCTTTATAAAAGTCTACGGATATTCCTTTCAGGGCATGGACTTTCTAGAATATAATAACGTGACAATATTTATATTTACACATACGTGGGCAAGGTAAACGTGAAAAATTCTCGGCCTGACATAGAAGTGGCACCGAGGGTGTCAAATGGCTATGATTTTTCTTAAGTTTGACCCTTCAGAGGCCTACCAAAAATGTTTCAGACAAATGCGGTTAGTAGTTTGTCTCTTGTGTTGAGTAAAGCGAACAAGTTTTAGTGTTTCTCGAAAAATGGATAAAATTGAATGTCGCGCAGTGAAAAAATATTTTGTTTTGAAAGGTTTAACGCCACCTGAAATAAAAAACGATCTTGATTCCAGCTTCAGAACACTCTTCATCATTGTCAACAGTGAAAAAATGGGCTGCCGAATTCAAATTTCATCTATTATTGAACGTTCAGGAAGTCCAAAAACCGCTACGACTGAGGAAATCGTCGAAAAAATTCATAATGCCGTGTTAAATGATCGACGAGTGAAAGTGCGTAAGTTTGCTGACATTGTAAACATCTCAACAGATTGTATATTCATAATAATAACATCTTACACGAACATTTGTTGCACATGAAAAAGTTTTTAGCGGGATGGGTGCCGCGTTTGCTAATGGTCGGTCAGAAACGCATTCGCAATTGCAGTCAAAAAACTTCATGAGCGCTTCGAATTGTTGCCACACTCCGTACTCACCAGATTCAGCTTCCCTACCCCCCAATAATTTTCATGGAGTTTTGCGACTGTAATTGCAGACATTCGTTTTTTTCATTTTTCGAGAAACATTATAAGTTTGCTTTACTTGACACAAGAGACAAACTACTAACCGAATCTTTCTAAAACTTTTTTGGTAGGCCTCTGAATGATCAAACTTGAGAAAAATTATAGTCATTTGACATCCTCGGTGCCATTTTTATGTTAGGCCAAGATCTTTTCACCTTGCCCTCGTACATAGCAAAAATGTAATATTCATATAATGAATCATGAAATACAAATTTGTATTTTGCAATACAATAAGATAAATGGCCAAAAAAACGACCAAAAATAAGAAATAATAAAATATGTAATAACTTCAACGACCGAAACTTCAAAAAAAATTATTTAATTGTTGATTTAACATTTTCTCGCTTGAGACCCAAGAAATAGTTATACTCCATCTATTTATCACATCTTTGGACTATATCTTTGAAATTCTCCATTTCTATCAATTTGGATTGTTCGATTTTTACAATACTCAATTGGAACATTTTATAT